TACTGTGTTTCCTAATGGAAGCCATTTATAAAGTTTTTAGGAGAAAAATAAAAAGCATGACAGAAAGTGGGAATAAATTAAACTTGAACCAAAATTGTTAAATCCCATCTCCAAACTGTATGATCAATGACCTAGACTCAAACTATTTGCTTCTCCCCTACCCTATCCTTTTCCAAGCCCTCTGTCATTGTTGTTATTATTTTTTACCCTCGAGTAATAGCTTTCTGAGTCCATTTCACCTTGATGGATTACGATGCCATCTTAAATGTCAATTGATAATAATTGTGCCATAAAAAAACCATAATAAATGTTATTGGTTTAAACCCACAGTGTCCCTTTGTTAATAATTCTAACTTATGGGCTTGTTGATAAATCTACAGAGACAACAGAGCTAATAAATCTAAGGTTAAAAGGACTCCAGAAGACAGGCCACTTGGGCTTTCTGTTAGATTGTTGCCAGCTGTTGAACTTTGAGAAGATCATAGCAAATGTCACTTGGGAAACTGTCAGAGTCTCGTAAGGCATAATGGATGGAAGACAACCTACAGGAGATGATGCTCCAGAGGTGACATCAACAATTTACAGTTGCACTGCATATAGCGACTGCCTTGCGCTATATGCCCCAATGCCCTTGACCAGCTGATGTACTCTAAGTACTCCTTATAGTTGACTAAGCACATGCTTTGGGCTTAGTCGTCATGACTTCTATTCTCAGTGCTGCAGAGTGCAAGTGACATCTCTGGTGGCAAGCACTGTGGCTACAGGTTGTTAAAGCAGGACCTAAGGGAGCTCACAAAGGATACTGTATCAATTGATTCAGGAGAGATCTCATTCAGTTCCCCTCTTTTCACTTAGAAAAAAGACACGTACTAAAAGGAGAGGAGGGAAATCTTCTTCCTGCCTGACACCAGCACAGAACTGGTTAGCTCACAGTTTTCCCATTTGCAACAGGCTACCTGTAATAACAGACTCCAGGAGGTTGAACACAGTTCAGTTTCAATTCTACTGGCCCCAAGTTCTCAACTTTTGAGAGCACCTCATCATTTAAAAACTGTATTTTACAAATTCCATGCACTTTTAGATTTGGTTGACACAAGCAAAATCAGAAGATGGGACCAACATTATTTGGATTCCTCTTTGCTACCAGCTGGCTTGAGGTACTGCACTTGGTTCTTAGAAATCCTGGAGGAAGACAAGTCTCCCTCTCCAAGAAGTTTACCCCCTAAATGGGATGGATAATTCAGCAACTGTAATAAATGAAAGCCAACTGTATTTGCTGTCCAGAAATCTGTGTAGGAATTTTAAGATGCAAACTACAACAAAATAGTTACATAAGCATACTACTGTCGAATTTTGGGTGGAGAGTCATCTTTTGGACTGAACAGGCAATTAACACGAAGCAATTTTGATACTGCAATAGAGAAAGGCAAAGTGCTTTCAGTTCTGTGACCAAGACAATAGTATAATTTCAGCCATGAGGTTGCTCCTGAAATCCAAGATTTGAGAATATATAGTCTTCAGTTCTTCCTTTTATAAATGAATATTCAAAATGTTAACACTGGACCCAATCATCACTGCTGTTAAGTATCAATACAACAACCCCAATTTACAGCACACCCTCTGAAGATACGACCTTTGCGCTGCTGAAAAAGTACATTGAATTGAATGGATTGTGGTGCAAGACCATTGGGAAGCGAGTGTGCCATTTGCTGCACTGAAATAATCCCAGCTCATTAACGCATCTAATGACCCCAGCCTCAGTCAATCTTTTTAAAAGGTATTTTAGGATGTATCATGAATCTCACTGTAATCCCCCTTCTCTCCCCTGTGTCAAAAAACCACTCCGCTGGAAACACACAGGGTTGCTTGCAACCATAACACAGGACATTTTTCACAGCATTGGAAGGAAGGTTCTCCTGGGCTTCACCAAGCAGCTACAGAGAGCAAACAAAACCACCAGGCCAAGCAGTGGTCTTTCTGCTCCTGTTCACAGAATCCTTGACAGAGAAGAGATGTATGGCCAGAAACGTGGTAGTGAGGTTCTCAGTACATGGAATTTGCTGCCTATTTGACAGGGTTGAGATAAAAGCTGACACCATAGACAGTGCAGGATTAATGGAGTACACATGCTGCACCAGGGTTTTCCATGGCTTTTCAGAAGCTGTTCAAAATCCTCTCCTGTTTACACGTTAATAATCATAAAGAAAAGAGAAATCACATAAAGAAAAGAGAAATCACATTCTACAACAGTTATTAAAACCAGGCCTATATACATATGGTGTTTATTCTCCTCCTTCCCTCTGAAGAAAGATTACTCCCATTTCTTCTGCATGAATCACAAAGCTTTATTTTGAGTAAACACAGACCTGAAATGAAAGCCTATCGAGGTGCCTCAAGGATGAAAAGGTTAAGAACCACACCTACAGGCTCATGCAGACATAAATTGAATTGTAACAGCTGATCAGTGCTCCCGCTTCCTCCCCTTTTACGATGGCTAAATGTGCTTCCCATACAGTCGCAATGAGGCAGCAAGCCACTACTGTAACACGAAGTTATTCTGCAAAGGAGTGTCTTGCAATCTTGAATTACGTTGTTGTTAAGAGAATTATTTGTCCTGGGGCAGAACTGTGCTTTCAGTTTAGATCTCTTGAAGCTGAGTAAAGATACTATTCTCTGGATTCATGCCTTTTTGCATTTGGTCCTTTGGCTTGAATAAGGAATACATTATACAGCTATTTCAGTGCAGATTAATACTTACGATTTACTTAAAGTCAGCAATTTATTGGGATTGAATTATTTCTATTTTACCATCTATGATACAGTAAACACCATATACTGATAACTGACTCCTGTCTCCATATTACAATAGTTAATACTAAAACCTTTACTTGGTGGAAAAAGATTGGCAAACATGAATATGATACTCAAGTTCTTCTTTACAGCTAGGGTGTCCAGACTGTAGAATAAACTCCCTCCACAGGTGGTGCAATCGCCTACCCTGGAAATCTTCAAGAGGAGACTTGGACGGTCACCTTACTGGGGTCACCTGACCCCAGTTATCTTTCCTGCCTAGTGCAGGGGGCTGGACCCGATGATCTTGAGAGGTCTCTTCCAGCCCCCAGACAATCTAATCTCTGAATCTATGAAAGCCTTGCTTTGACATATCCAGGAAGAGTTACACATGACACCAGTGCAAAGGCCTCTGTGGGCACATTCACAAAACATTTTGCAAGGCTGGGCTAGAAAGACCCTTAAGTACAGCAGTGTGACAGACAAGGGTGGCTAAGGTGTCTCACAGACACTCGATAGGCGAGCAGCTGAGGTATCTCTTATGTATAAAGTGGTCTTATGTAAGAGTGGTCGGTACCCCTGGCACTGAGATAAATCCAAGGGGGTTCTTTAACTAGAGGCCTGTCCCAGATGAAGATGGCAAAATTGTCCCTTACCCCAAAATCACTGTCCTTGAAGAATTGAGACAGGGAGGTATTATAAGATGAAAGAAAAATGTTTCTTATTCTCATCTCCTCCGTTTTTATCAGTAGAAAAGACAGTTGTTTGCTCAGTCTTTCCCCTGAGAAGCAGCTGATTATTAAAGTCAGATAATCACATATAGTTCATTATGAATGACTGAAACAGTTTTAGACATCACCATTGTTTCACTCCCTACCCCCACTACTTTTCCAGTACCTGGAACCTCTGGAAAAAGCTGAAAGACTTTCATCTTATCAGGTGTGTTTTATTGCCTCCTGGTTACACAGTAATTTTAGTTTCAGCTCTATGAAGGGATCTTATGATGAGATATCAACTCAAGAATTGTCAGTTCATTGGACAAATAAGGCAGGGCCTGTCAATACAATTATAGAAGACAGATAAGAAAGGTGCAAAAGGAGAACCAGCAGAAAAAGGGAGACAGAAGAGTAAAAATGTAAAAGGTGGGTGAAGGGCAATCCCAGACATCCTTATCAAGGTTTAAAGAAAGGGGTCATCCAGCTGCACATTCTTTGTTAAATAAAAATTAACAAGAAGAAAGAAGTGGAAGGGGAGAGGAATAACTGGCATTCTTCAGCATTATCCAAGAAACTTTCCCCCTGCTGTGGAGACCCAGCTGAGAAGAAAGAGTACCTTGGGGAAGGTTTTTCAGCCAACGTTACTAGAGAGCGGAGGTAAAAAAAAGAAGAGAACTATATTGCCAAAGGACTGATATCCCTATGAACATTACAGAGGTTTCTCTTTCTGTCATCGCTAGTATGAAGGAAAAATTATGAAAATGATCTATTGGGAAGGTTCAAAGGGTTTTGAGATTGGAAGAAGAGAAAATCTGAATTAAGGCTCCTTGGTGAGGTGGCAGCTGGAGAAAAAGCCTGGCTGTTAAAGGAGGAGGAGGGGTCCTTCACTCCAGAAGAGAGTCTCTCAGATTTTGGGGAAGTTTCTAGTGTGCTTCCCATGCTAGTAATCGGGCATAGGAGTCTGAGCTTACAAGCACTTTCCTATGTCATATTAGTACATGACACTAAGACTGGGGCATGATTCTGACTTGAAAGCAAAAAAGAAGATAATTGCCCACCATTCTTTACCTATATTAAGCAACTCTTTCCAGGGCAGTTTTTGGCACGAGCCTGTGTGGAATGCTCCTCCTCCTCCTGGCATTACAATGAGATTGCAGAGAGCCCTTTAAAGGTATAGTGGTTTAGGGTTTGTTTTGTGGTAGTAGGGGTTGTTTAGACCCCCCCCCCCCCACAATAGTCACGATGTTATTTTCCAAGAGACTCAAGCACTCTTCCTGATCTTGAAATGCCCTGCAGCAATCAGAAAGAGAAGGTGCGGACTCTCCCATATGTGTGTGGTCTCCATTTCTCCTCCTGCTGATTTAGCTTGGGAGGGTGCAAGCAGGCAGAGAAACACACCTACTCAGCTGTATTATTCTTGGAATACACAAACAACAGAAACAGCTCCAGTGGGGAAAGCTGGAGACGATATCCTTCCCCTCTGCACCTAGTGGGATGAAGATGACTGACCCTAGAGAGTGTGACAGTCGGGGGAAGCCCATTCTGTCTTTTTCCATTGAGGAGATCTTAAAGAAACCTTATTCTAGCATATGTCTAAACAATGCAGCCAGGAATAGAAGTAACCATACCGAAGTAACTCCAGCCCTGGGCTCTGAGCCCCCACTGGAACTTGCCACGGGTAAGCATTTTTTATATTACTTATTGAGAACTTTCCCCCCTTTCCAAATCTATTCAGATTGGCTATGTAGAATCCTGTTTATGCCCTTATAGAAATCTGATATTTCATTGGTCAAGAGTATGGCTGGTACCATATATTTGATAGGTGCATATAAATATAATATGAACTAAAACTGAAAAGATTTTACAGATGATCTTGCATGTTTTCAGGGGCCCAGTTGCTGCCTCCCCTTGGAATTCAATGGGCACATCTACATGTTCATTAATGTGCAGTAGTAATTGTGCATTTAATTTAGTACTTGCTTAATGAAGTACTAACTAAATGCACAGTAACCAGAGTTACTGCACAGTAGTGTCAGTACATGCCTTTTTTAGTGATGCCGTACAGTAGCATATTAGCACTATCCAGGCTGTGATGCACTACTGCACAGTGTTATTAGGCTACTGGGCATTAAGTGTCTTGTGTAGATGCACCCAGTGTGTTACAAAAGCCTCAGAGCCCTAGGAGAAGGGGATGTATTGTCTGAATCAGCAAGAGACAGCGTGGCAGCCTATGTATAGTAACTGCATGGTCTAATTCCTGGAGATTACCACTAAAATAAGATGTCCTTTGGCCTTTCTCTTTCAAAAAAGTACAAGAATATCTGAATTATCATCAAGCATCTGTCCTTCCTGTAAGAAAGGATGGAGGGTCAAATGCAGATCTAATGTAAGCAGGTGCAAGTTCTATGAAGTTGATGGAATTTCACTGATTTATACCAGATCCAGATAGTGCCAATAGAGTAAAACTCCATAAAAGTAACATGTTTTAATAAATTCAACTGCTTGGGAGCACTGGACTGTAAGGAGAAAGTAGCTAAGCAGTATTGAAACTCAAATGCTAGGATGGGAAGAACAGAAATTATTTTTCTTTATAGTCTCTCTTTATCATCAGGGACATTAGAGTTCCTTCAGGGACTGGACTTGACTAGTTAGCTGCAAGATAACATAATCCCAGTACTTCAGACCAGCAAATGCATTGGCCTTCTTAACATTCATTTCCTTGGCTCTGTTCAGTTGGCCTAGAACTACTTGGAACATGGTACTGTTCCTGCAAAAAATGTCATTTTTTTGTCAAAAAGCCAAAACCAAAAGTGTTTACATTTTTGGTTTTTCAACAGCAGTCCAAATTTTCTGCGCAAAGTTGATACTTCCAAAACAATCCACTTATCTGACAAAAAACAGTCTCGATGGAAAAATTTAAGATAGGTCTAGTTTAGTCTTTGCATTACAGCAGTGTTTTAATCATTATGATTTATTATTTGTAATAAAATAGCACACAGAGACCTCAGTTATGGATCAGGGTCCATAACTAGGCACTGGCATTAGACATCGCACAAATACAGAAAAAGACAGTCCCTGACCCAGAGATGTTACAGTCTAAGTAACCACTGTGTTCTGGGACAATTTCAACTGTTTTGTGTCCAAAGTGAATTCTAACAGACGTTGAATGGCAAATATGAACAGGACAATAGCATAATGAAGATAGAACAACCAGGGCGTCAGCCCCAGGCACTAACCCTGGGGGGAGTAAAAATCGCAGGAGCTGCACTACCAGCCCAGCTGCTACTGGGAGCACAGAGACACCACCCTGTCTGCCACTGCCTCCCAGGGCACTCAAGCACCCACTTATACCTCTGAAACAGGACAAAACCAAACAAAAGCAGCTGGGCTGGGTAAAGACTGAAGGTAATAATCACAAAATATTCACTAGTCTAACACAGCTTGCTTTGATCTAAGCAGATTAACCAGCTGGATTAGAATCTCCTTTGGCCATAGCTGAGTATACATCCTTCTTAGCCCAAAGGTTAAAATCAGTTCTTGTGCACACTGGAATTTTGGTCACTTCTGCACTAAATATATTTGTCATGCATGACCCTGACTAAATATATGACCTGGTCTTACAGGCTGCATTTGCCTAACAATTTCTGAGATATCTTTCATAACGGCGTTACCA